GTACTTGATACCAAACTCTTACAGACATATGACTAATTAACAATGTTATGTTTATACAACCAACCTCTTTTATAGTTATCTTAACTCTTCTCTCTATGTACTGCTACTTCTGTGACTATCTGTGGAACAGTTTGGCTGGTCATGTGCCCAGATGACACGAAGTGGTGTCAGATTTCTAAAAATATGTGTGTGTGTGTGTGTGTGTGTGTGTGTGTGTGTGTGTGTACGCGCGAATGTGGAGAGTGGTGAGCCAGGAGCCAGCCAGGATGAGCTCTGTGCTACTTATGCGTTGGCACTGAGATCCTGAGTGCCAGTTCTCTAGTGTCCTTGACCTGCCCCTGTCTGATAAGAAGCTGTTCTCTTCTTTGGCCTGCAGTTAAATCCTATGCATAGCTCTATACCATAACAGCTTATGAATAAGCTTGGCTATTAATTATTTATACCAGTGTTTTTTGTCTTGTTTTGTTTCAGTTCTGATTTTGCATAAAGAAAGGGGATCTTGGCTCTCTTTATTTTTTTTTTTTTAAGATTTATTTATTTTAGAGAGAGGGCGAGTGAGAGCATGTGCGTGTGCACGAGCAGGGGGAGGGGCAAAGGGAGAGGGAGAGAGAATCTCCAGTAGACTCCCTGCTGAGTGGGGAGCCTGACACTGGCTCAATCTCACGATCCTGAGATCATGACCTGAGCTGAAATCAAGAGTTGGACACTTAACTGACTGAGCCACCCATGTGCCCTTGGCTCCAATCACATTCCATGTTCAGATCTTAGTTTTAAAGAGGACAAAGCTGAGCGAGGGGGATAGGAACAGTTTTAGTTGACAGTTACGTGCTGTTTCTCTCCTTCCCTCCCTCCCTTCCACCCATCCTCCCTCCCTCCTCCTTCTCTTTCCCTCCCTCCCTCCCCCTTTCTCTCTTTCTTTCTTTCTCTTTCTTTCTTTCTTTTCTTTTCTTTCTTCGATACTACAAAGGAGGCAGAAACAGAGAAAAGGGGAAAAAGGTGTGTGATAGGTGAGCTGTAGAGAAGAGCAACGAGAGCAGATACAGAGGCCCTGCTGTGGCAGTTGATGCTGAGAGAAGCTACTTGGGAGTCTTTCCCAAGTTGCGAATGGGCGGTAGAAAGGTAATAACGAGGTATTAAGCACCTGTACTCTTTTTTTTTTTTTAAGATTTTTTAATTTATTTATTTGAGAGAGACAGAGAGAGAGGGAACACAAGCACGGGGAGTGGGAGAGGGAGAAGCAGACTCCCCACTGAGCAGAGAGCCCGATGTGGGGCTCGATCCCAGGACCCTGGGATCATGACCTGAGCCGAAGGCAGACACCCAGCGACTGAGCCACCCAGGCACCCCATTCACCTGTACTCTTAATAAGTAGCTCAGGACCAAGAGAAAGAGTGGACCAGATTCATGAAAATAACCTGGAATAGCCATTAGGTGGAGAAAGTTATAAACCAGAGTCAAGAGAAGTGTTGGGAACAATGTAGTCAGCAAATCTAAGCACACCATTTATAGGTAAGCTTCCCTCCCTTTAACATTTAACTCCATCTGGCACCTTTATTTAATCTTAGTGGAATGGCAAAAGAATGCTAAACAGGAGACCAGGTTCTAGTCTCAGCTTAGTCACTAGGTACTTGGGGTGGTGGGGGGAAGAAGTGTTTTCTAATCCAAAAATGAAGGAACTGGATTATATGATCTCTAAAGTCCTTTCTAGTTCCAAAAATCAGCTATGCTGAAGCCTCACAGACTTAGAACTTCCAATACATCAGGTCAAAGGACAGCAGACCATGTATGTGTAGTGATGTAGAAGACACCGAACAGTTGACAGAATGAGTGCAAAGTCAGGGTGATGATGAAGGATTTTCAAAAAGCACTATTCCATGGGATGTTGGGGCATTCCCTCTTGAGGAGGAATTGTGGTCCCTGATGTCAGAGGCTTGTGGGAGCCAATTTTGAGGTTGCTTTGTTCATTTTCTCTGCCTATTAAATTTCCTCTAGAGAATGACCACTTCCAGGTGAGAAAACTCTGGCCTTTTTTGGAGGTTGGGGTGGGGGGCGGAGTAGGGGTCTGCCTGAATTATCAGGGGTAGAATGCAGGCTCTCCCTGGCATTGACTCTCAGAGTATTGCAGTGCTGAATTCTCCTTCTCAAAACTGTTTGGCTTCACTGATGTCCGCGGTAGTTGGGACACAGGTTGCCTCTTGGCCTGTACCAGACTTGCTCTCTTCCTCCCCTTATATTTATCACTTTGTCATCCCTGACTCTGAATCCCAGAGATCAAAACTAGCTGTAGTCCAGCAGAGGAGCAATAAATCATCGCTCCCACTTCCTTTTCTCCAGGTTTTCTGCTCCTTAATTACCACATAACCACTGCTGAGTTTGCATCTTTGTGCTGCGTATGCTAGGGACAGAAGCCCTCATTGATGGGACGTGTGCAAAAGCTGCTTTGTCTCTCTCCAGCCATTATGTTTTGCTGTTCTACCCAGCGCCACGTGCTCTTACCCATCCTTTTCTCTTGTCTCCTGTGAGTTTTTAGAGTCTGATTGTCAGGTGATTTACCCATTAACAGGGCTTGCTAAGCTCTGGGGGTAGTGGGTAGAGTGGGCAGCCCTTAAATAACTCGGCAAGATGATCTTATTAAAGAGAGAGGTTTGGGCTGGGTTAGTCATTTTTATATGGATTTTCGCTAGTCCCCTTTATTCTCTGAGCTCCTGGTAGGAGTTAAGCAGGTCGTGTGATCAAGAATGGGCTCCTGTGGAGCTTTTTTTGGGGTCTAGTCCAACAGTTTGCTTGTTAACAGGTAACATCAAAAGGGCCAGCTGCCTGTCATTTGCCTTTCCATTATGAAACCTCAGAGAACTTGAGTCAGTGCAAGGGTGAAGAGTTCATAAGTGAGGGTGCCTATGACCTTCATCTCTAGCAAGGCTTTTTTGCCATTTGAGGGGAAGAGTCAGGCTTTAGAAATAGAACGTAGACAGGCCCTTGTACTTTTCCTTGCCTGCTGTTTCTTTACTATACCTGTGATTTCAGAGGTTGAGAGTAAGGAGTGTTGTGTGGCAGGCAGCAAGTACCTGGAGAGTCTTACTCCTACTCATCATTCCCTGCTGTTTCAAATCAAAGCTCACATCTCTTCTCGAAGGGTAGTAAACTTCACACAAAGCTCAGCCAAATGGACTTCTTTGCCGGCAAAGAAGCAGATACGGTCTTAGAAAAGGAGAGGTCAAGTCTTTTTTTGTGTCCGTGGGAGTAGAGAAGGTTTAGGGGGAGAAGACAGAAGGACCACCAATTGGTTGCAGCTGCTGAACCCCTTCTTCATAGTTTCCCATCAAGTAGGGGAGGTAGGTACAGCGTCAATAGTCATGATGGGCACAGAAGTAGGATTTACTTCATGGGTGTGGGTGAAAGAGAACAGGCAACTGATGATTTCTTTTATGCTTAATATTTATTTGCAAAAATGTCTTTATACCTACAGTGTTAAGCTAGGTATTTGGCAGTCAGTCTTTTAACTGAGGTTGCCTGGGTTTTAATCCTCATTAAGCATATCAGGGAGAAAGGGGACCTTTTCGGTAAATGTTGTCATGGTTGAGAGAGGAAAGGGTAAGCTGTACTTTTGTTTGAACAGTTAGGGGCTTTTTTTTCTCTTCATGAGCTCTCTTCCCATCTGGCGCTGAAGTACAATATAGTTGGCATATCTGGTGACCAGTTAGAATTGAAAGGTGCCCCTCTTAGCTATGATGTTTGAAACAAATGCATAGCTAAAACATTGTGAAATGACATGCCATTAGCCTAGGATGAGCGGGGGATCCTCATTTTGATCTATAAATTGAACAAATTTGGTGGGGAAATCACTGTGTGGGAGTAAACTTGAAATACTAAGAGGTCCTTTTTTTTTTTTTAAGATTTTATTTATTTATTTGACAGGGAGAGACACAACGAGAGAGGGAACACAAGCAGGGGGAGTGGGAGAGGGAGAAGCAGGCTTCCCGCTGAGCAGGGAGCCCGATGCGGGGCTCGATCCCAGAACCCTGGGATCATGCATGACCTGAGCCGAAGGCAGATGCTTAACGACTGAGCCACCCAGGCGCCCCCCCGCTTTTTTAAAACATTTGTTTGTTTATTTTAGAGAGGGGGGGAGAGAGCAGAGGGAGAGAATCTCAAGCAGACTCCTCACTGAGCACAGAGCTGGATCCATCAGATCATGACCAGATCCAAAACCAAGAATCAGAAGCTTAACTGTCTGAGCCACCCAGGGGCCCCTGAGATGTCCTTTTTGTAGTCAGATTTCCAAGTTTAATTGCTATTAAAGAAGTGGCACAAAGAGGTCAAACTGGAGTCATGGCAGGACAGATGTTTAGAAAGTTTCTTCCCCTCTTTGGCCAACTTTTAGTGGAAAGGAGAGCTGCCAAAACTGTAACCAGAGGAGGCGTTATGCTTCCAGAAAAATCTCAAGGAACTGTATTGCAAGCAACAGTAGTAGCTGTTAGATTGGGCTCTAAAGGAAAGGGTAAAGAAATTCAACCAGTTAGTATGAAAGTTCAAGATCAAGTTCTTCTCTCAGAATATGGAAGCACCAAAGTAGTTCTAGATGATAAGGATTATTTCTTATTTAGAGATGGTGACATTCTCGGAAAGTATGTAGACTGAAAGAAATCATTATTGAAACGGCATTAAGTGAAGCTGCCCATTCCAGTGAAGTTGTGTAATCTTTCATCATGTAATTTTTGTGTCTCTCTTTTATGATAAACTAATAGTATAAAAAAAAAAGTGGTACAAAGAAGTAGATTTTTAAAAACCTTCTAAGGGCAGATAAACAGATATGTGCTTGGGAAGGTCACTGCTTGCTTTAGATATATCTACCTTACCTGCTTTTAAAAAATTCTTGGTAGCTGTGACTTACTTGTTCTAGCCCTATTTGGATTTCTTAAATCTATTTTCATTGTTTGATTTAACTTTATTAATTACTCTTTGAATACCTTGTTGATGTCTTTTTTTTTTTTTTTTTAAAGCCTTGATAAATTTGCTGAAGTTCCTTATGTCAAATGAGACTGTACTTCTGGCCAAACACAACATTTTTACATTAGCCCTTATGGTGAGTAACAAAAAAAAATTTCTTTCTTTTTTTTTTTTAAAGATTTTATTTATTTATTTGAGAGAGAGAATGAGATAGAGAGAGCATGAGAGGGGGAGGGGCAGACTCCCCGCTGAGCAGGGAGCCCGATGCGGGACTCGATCCTGGGACTCCGGGATCATGACCTGAGCCGAAGGCAGTCGCTTAACCAACTGAGCCACCCAGGCGCCCCCAAAAAAATACTTCTTAAGGATAGTGGGAGGTATAGGCTTCTAGTTGTGGAAAGAATAAGTCATGGGGATAAAAGGTACAGCATAGGGAGTATAGTCAGTGGTGTTGTAATGGTGTTACATGGTGACAGACGGTAGTTCCACTTGTGGTGAGCATAGCATGATATATAGACTTGTTGAGTCACTATGTTATACACCTGAAACTAATGTAATGTGTGTCAATTGTACTTCAATTAAAAACATTTTTTTCCCCTTTTTCTGAAGCCATACCCTAAGATAGATAGACCAGGTTGAAACAGGAGCCTAGTATTCTGGGGACTAAGGCGTAGGGGGAGTGAGGCCTTTATTTTCCTTTTGGATTTGAATCTCTAGACTGGTGCTTCCCACTCTTCCTCTCTCACCTATGTCTTTGGCAAACTTGAGATTCTTTCTCTTTCATGAGAGTGTATTGTTTGGTAAGGACAGGTATGGGTCAGATCTCTGTGAGCCTTGGTCCCCGGTGAGAGACTGAACTACTAGGCTACTATAGTCTCTATGTTGGTACAGAGCAAAGCCTCTGGAGGTGTCTCAGCCAGATGAATGGTTCCATCATGGCTGCACTTGGTTTCAGAGGGACATTATAGATGCCTATTTATCTGACTGGTTACTTGGGGTAGAAGGAGGACATTGTGCGTTTTGACTGTCTTCTCAGGTTGTTACCCAATGTGTTCATAAATGTTTAACATTTGAGGGGGAAAAGCCCTGATTTGTAGCATTTGTGGATTTCTGTGGTACAACTATTCCCATCATGGCCAATTTCAAGCTGACAATGTGACGTTGTTGAATGTAGAGCTGGGGAGATGAGCAATAACACGCCATTATATGATATTCCCACCACACAGGTATAAGAAGTGTAAATTAATCTCAAGAACATAAATAATACTAAAAGATAGAAAATAATTAGGAAGTTGTAAGTTTGAGTATTACCTTCATTTTAATGTAATTTATTGAATTGTAAGTTTATATGTCAGTTTGTAATAATGGCTTTTTTGTTAAACAACCAGCTCACAAAATTCCTGAAAATTTTAACAGTCAGCTCTTACAAGCCAATAAGAACAGACTACAGCATACTACTGACAATACCCTTCTGTGGTCTTCATAGCACGATGCCTGTGTATGGGCTTTTGCTTCTTTTTTATTTATTTATTTTAAAAAATTTTTAAAGATTTTATTTATTTATTTGACAGAGAGAGATACAGCAAGAGAGGGAACACAAGCAGGGGGAGTGGGAGAGGGAG